GGGGGTGTCCTATGTTCTTGGACTGACTTTTGTAGTATTTATGTTTGGTTAGAAAAGCTAACTATTTAAAGCGCATAGACGGTAAAACGGGGATACTATTCCAAGAGTTTAAATAAACGTTCAGTTTTTCAGAACTTTTGCAGTGGTCTAAACTTTCGGAGGGGGGGGGGGCAAAATTGTTATGAATTTTGAATGCGAGCGCCGTAGGCGCGAGGAAAATTTTGAACTTATAGATTCATTAGAACGCTATTTCACGTATTTTAGGACAAGGTTTGAAGAAAAGTTACAACCACAAAAAGGCATTTTTAAGTCGCCTAATTTTGTTAGATCGAAAAAATATTTATGTATAGAATTTAAATAAACGTTCAGTTTTTCAAAACTTTTGCAGTGGTGTAAACCTTTGGAGTTTGGAGGGGAGGAGGGGTCAAAATTTTTAGGGATTTCGAATGCGCGCGCCGTAGGCGCGAGGAAAATTTTGAATTTCTAGATTCATTAGAACGCTATTTCACATATTTTAGGACGAGGTTTGAAGAAAAGTTACAATCACAAAAATGCATTTTTAAGTCGCCTAATGTTGTTAGATTGAAAAAATATTTATGTAAAACATAGTATTGTACACGCAAATACTCAACAGCAAAATAGCATCATGTCTTCGTTTTTGTAGAAGTCGGTCATGAGTGTTGCTTTGAGCGCAAATTCAAGTTCAAATGTGCTTTAAAATAACCATAGGCATTTTTTACTGGAGTTAGGATTCTAGGTAGGGAAGACTTCAACTTTTATTGGCAAGCAGAAGAGATGGGTATCATTATTCACACATCGTACCCCCACCCCAATTTCTGCCCGGATTTCAGCTTTCCACAAGGGCTGTCCTTATGCCCATTGCAGAACCCCCCGAGCCCCCATCTTGGCTACGCCGCTGATTTACTTCTGCCTTCCAAAGTTTCAGCTTTTACGACAAGGCTAACAACGAACAATTTTAACTGCACCGCGGGGGCTTGAGGTAATCGGATCGCATTACGTTGGCTGAACTGTTGCAACACGGAAGTTGATTATTTGCTCTCTTGGTTTGTGTCAGTGAACTCTAATTTGTGTATGTCTAATTCGTTTTTCTTATGTCTATGCAACTTCCATTTCCAGAATGTCCACCTATTACTTTTTTCGACACAAAATGATAATATCTTTTAGCCGGACCGACTTTTTCGTCCCATTCAGGTTTTGGGACCGACTTTTTAGATATATTTCACAAAACATGGGGGGGTGTCACACCCCCCACACCCCCCCTAATGTGCGCCCCTGAGCTTCATAGAAGCTATGACATTTAATTTTGACATGACCATGTGGCATATCGCATATTTTTCCATTGCACGAGCCTTTATATTTTACAGAGTATTTTACAATATTACTATTTGATTTTGGAGCCTGAAAAGAGTTATATTTTTGAAGGTATGTTGATAAAAATAGTTATTTGAACGTTTGAATACTTTTATATATGTAAATGAACGTGATAGTCTGTTTTTATTAATACATTATAAAAATTCGAATTCTATCTCCTCTACTCTCTAGGTGTATATTTTGGACTTTTTTGGTGTGTGTTCGTGGAATCGTTTGGTCAAATCAAATCAAAAGGGGCCGTTTATATTATGTTTTTCAAGCAGTGAATTGTGAACTCGCTGTACCTGTACCAAATTTGCTAGCGATGTGTGAACTCGCTACATTTTATACTTTATACAAGCGAAGTGTGACCTCGCTAGCTGGGCAATCGTTGACGTTCGCAATAATAAAGTTGTATACTGATTCTGTCAAAAGATTAAGCCAACAATGTATTGTATTTAAATACAGCAAATTTTACAAATATATAGATTGTATGTCAATTAGAAAATTGCCAATAAAAATAGTTCTATATTACAGTAAAATAATTATTAATATTGTTATTAAGGGAATATGATATACAGTATAGTAAAGCCCTGCATAAATAAAACCAGTGAATTTTGACTTCAGGCTGAAGTGGTTCTTATATAATCTTACTTCACACTATACTTTTTCTATTCTATTCTACACATTAAATAGGGACTGCTGTTGCATAAAACTGTTGTTATGACGCTAATATGGTTCTCGTTGCATATATCTAAACTGTTAAAAAATGTTTAAAACTTGTATTTTGAGTGCGCCGAGCGTTTTATATCTGATAAAACACGATTTAATTGCACAAATTTTAGGCTAGTGGTCCCTTAACCTACTGGTTCTTTTGTGCGGGGCTTTACTTACATTTTTCCGGAAAAAACATAGATTGAATTTTTCAAAAATGCCCTTTGCGCAAAAAATGCAATTTTTAATGAAAATTTTTCACGCAAAAAGGGCACTTTGTGCACCCGTTGCACCCGTATTCTGCACCCGTAGTGCACCCGTAAAGTTGTGAAGACAAAAGGCAGCGGGTGCAACTGCACCCGCTGCACCCGTGGTTCCGGCATCCCTGACCTTATGCATAATGACGTCTCATGAAGGCTTGATGCCTGTCAGGAATGCTGGTCTTAGTAGTCATTAGCGGGAAAAATTTCGATAGTGGCCATTTTAAAATGTTTAATTTTCCGGGGCGATGACTACTAAGACCAGCATTCCTCGCGGGCATCATTTGTATACGAATGAAAAATTATCTGACTTGTTTTCGATAATGCTCACAATTTCTTTCTTATTATATTGTTTTGCAGTTCTGACTGAGTACAATCTTAATCATTTATACTAGAAAATACATAAACGATATATATTACTAGGAAATGTTTCTAAAATTTAAGCCTACTGTATGTCTGGGAAGAACAAGTTTCAATCTGTTCATAATGTTTACCTTTACCGACGTTCCGACAACGTCCCTGTACTACTTTGTGGACCATAACAATTCTTTTTGTAGATTTTTTGCAGAATCTTAATTTTAGTTTGTCTAATATCGGGTTTGCGTTGACTAATTTCTTTTTTTCATGTGTACAAACACCGCAATTGAACCACACTCGTGTGCAGAGAGTCATACATAAGAATGATTGTTTTCATCTCAGCCGATCATCCAATATATTTTTAAAAGCTCCCATAAGCTCAAGAAGAGTTAACTACGCCTACGGATTCCTAGACGGTTTTGTTACAAGGATGTCTTTCCAAACTTTCGAAGCACCCTGATATGGTAACGTTTGACACTGTGGGAACAAAAGTTTTATTTTCAGTATTTCAAATCAGCACAAATTATCTAGTCAATGCCATTAATCACAACTGTTACACCGCTATAAACCTTTAACTCTTTCCATAAAGTAAATATTTGCATTTACTTGGTTGAACTTGTATAGATCAGGAACCAACACTGATCCTTGTGGTGTTTTTATTTCTCCAACGAATACAGAAGTTATAATTCACATTTAGTCTTTCAATACTGAATTAATCCTCGACTGGGGCGTAGTGAACGAGAAAGGCATCACACACAATTATACTCAGGTTCCTAGTGAACGAGAAAGGCATCACACACAAATATACTCAGTTGGAAATAGTCAGCTGGTGTTAATTTTTATAATCTGTATATTAGCCACTAATCCATTTTCCTCATTTGTTTGTTCACTCAGAGTACGTACGAGTGAAGAATATGTACTGTTCCGCCGTCCAGGTTAAGGCAGGAGCAAAAGGTTGGCAGTTATTCATAGTATTATAATGGTTGCCTTCATCAGTGCTTCACTACGTCGCAAAATGGTGGTTGAATTTCAAAGTCATTTTCCACAACGACATTTTCCGAGCATGCACTATCATAAGGTATAGATCCTGTCTCTATTTCAAGATTGTGTTCCAGATAGTGATTAGGTGAAAGTATTTGCTGACGTTTTGGTTTTGCCATATCGCTTGCTTCATGATTCTTACAATCATCGATGTTCATCCACGTTGCAGATTGTTGGTTATAGTTCAATTACATTTTTTAAAAATACAAAACTCAATACTGGTCAGTGTCACATAGATGAACATACTTATTTTGCTACACTTTCAAATGTATCCTGTTTCAATCTTTTAACTAAGTTCTAACAAACTTGAACAATAATTATCTATCTTGGAAAAAATAAGCACATTTTCCTTTATGTTATTTTATTTTATTTTATTTTATCAAAAAAAATATTTTTGTTGAAAACGTACTTCTCCTATGCATATTATTAGCTTATGCCAAGATAGAGCGTTTTCAAATATCGCCTTTCGAGAACATATAACAAAGATATTTTCGAGAAAATAATCTATGAAAATACCTTTGTTATATCTACGAAATGTTGACTATACGACGTCAGCCTGAAATTTCCGAGTAATGCACGCATGAATCGGCAAATATATAGGCAATTTTACACCCAATTTCAAGCGCTTACAAAACATTTGTTTTATTTTTTCGAGTAATCAGATCCATTAGAAATTCTCAGTCGTTAGCTGGATCCAAAAAGAAAATAATGAATGTAAACCATTTGCATTAAAAAGGCTTATTTAGTTTGAAACAAACTTGCATCAGCCCTGTTGCAATGTTGTTTTTGCCAACCAGGTTTTTAACATAAGCAGCGAGCAAACACTCTGTTATATCACAAAAAATAGACATACATAGCTACTGAAACAGGCACAAGAATATCGCTGGATAGCAAAACAAGAAACACTTAAAATATTATTTCAATATGTATTTTATAATCACAGATTAATCATTGGTTAATTTAGGTCGCTCTTTAGGTTGGGTTGCCAAATATTGGAGACAGAGACGAATTTAAATTCCCAACAAATGTAACCCAACATATGTGACCACACTTTCGTTGCTGCAAACCATACTGCACTT